ATTTTAAGGCTGAGGCACAGCGAATACCGCGAGACTTAAAGAGCGCGTTTGCCGCTCCTCGCTCGCCTCGGTAAGCCAAGGAAGCGGTCATCGCGCCGAATATGCACAAACGAAATTAAGTCGCAAAAAGTCGGAATCGCCAGCACGATTAAGTCGACGTTCGATGACAAATGAGGGGTCGAAAGAACAAGGTGAACAGCGCAAAATCCTAGTGACGATTGGTCGGCCATGTCGCAATTGTAACTCGCCGGATAAACAGCAGCCGGCCACCTGCAGCCGCTGGACTTCAGTACACCACAGGTAGAGACTGGAAGTCCGTCGTTCGGCCACAACGACGAAAAAGAGCAAGGGCAAAAGTAAAAAGACAGACTGCTCCCGTAAACAGCCCTCGACAATGCCACGTGTCTTTTCTCCGTCGTTTGTCGGTTTCAAGAGGCAGCTAGGAAACTAGCCGACTTCGTTGCAACTCAGGTCATCAACGGCATCGATGGCAATGAATCAAGAAAGAAGGTGACCATTCCGGCTGTCCAGTTTTAACCATATTTTCACGATCCCACTCCTGGCGCGGGCTTGGCAATGACCATTCGCTTTATGCCTCTATATCTTAGCGTGGGAGTGGTTTAAGCGCGTCCAGCATGGAGTTGGAGGCGACGGATTGCTTAGTTGCTCGTGTTCTGAAATTTTGCGCAATTCGCGTTCTGACAGAATGTGATGTATGGTTTAATAATTCTGATCGCATTTAATACTCGATCAAGTGGCAGCGATCACTTGCAACGCAAAATATTTTTCATACGTTTATTTTTAAACTTTTTCGAAGTAAAATATGTTATTCAAAACACGTTTCAAAGGTTAGCTAGACAACTCATGCACTAATTTTGGATTTAAGTTCACAAATATTAGTTTATTTAATTAAGAGTTGAAGTTTTTATAGGCCCTTAGTTACATAGATAAATAGTTGAACGATTCATGATTCAGGGCCCCAAGAACGGCAGACGGTTAAACCTTAATTGCCAACGCGTTTCATTCCAGAGACCTTGAAATCATGAGGACTTATGTCCGACAAGCGATCACTGCAATGTTTCGTGATGGTCCATACTCAAAAGCAAATCAGTTGCTGAACAGCTATATCACATTTGAGCCGACGAATG